AAGAGAAAGACAAGAAGAGAAGAGAAAGAAAAAAGTGAAGAGAGACAAAAGGGGAGAGAAAAAGAAGAGAAAGAAAAAGGAGGAAAAATAGAAAAAAGGAGAGAGAAAAACAGGAGAGAAGAAAGAGGAGAAAAAGATAAAAAAAGAAAAAAGGGGACAGAAAAAGAGAGAAAAAGTGAAAGAAGGAAAGAAAGAAAAAAGAGAAGACAGAGAGAAGAGAGAAAAAAGAAAGGAAAGAACAGAAAAAAGGAGACAAAAAAGAGGGGAGAGAGAAAGAGAGAAAAAAGATAGGTGAGAAAAAAGAAAAAAAGGAGAGAGAAGAGAAGAAAAAGAAGGAGAAAAAGAGAAGAGAGAGAAAGGAAGAGAAGAGAGGGGAGAAGGAAAAAGAGAAAGAGGGTGTGTCCCTCACTGCCCACATCTCCCACTGCTACTGGCTGGAGCTCGGGCCTGCTGGGCCATGGCAGCGTCTGCTGGAGGGAGGCAGCGACACCCCAGCAGCAGCTGCCAGGGCCGGGGCACTCAGGAGTCCCCGATGGTCTTGGAGTGGGGGGAGCCCAGGCCCAGGGCTGGGAGGGAAGGTCCAGCTGGGGTGGGGGCAGCACTGGGGCGCAGAGTGCTGGGCATTCAGGGCAGGGTCTGGGTGGTGCAGGGAGAAGCAGGCGCAGGGGGAGGCACTGTGAGTGGGCTGGCCCAGCTAGGCCTTGGGAAGCAGCAGGGAGAGGAGAGTGGGGGCTAGGCAGGAAGCGGGGCCTCCCCCAGGGCTCCTCAAACTTGGCCTGAGGTGGGCAAGCGCGTGGGTGGGCATGCTCAGAGGCACCTGGGGATGGGCGGCAGTCACCCTACCTGCAAGGAGATGCTGACTGGCTGGGGCAGGACCCTAGGCTCAGGGGGCTCCTGGCTCAGCCCCCCTGCATGCCAGGCACAGTGTGAGTGCGGTGGAGCCCCCCAGTGCAAGGGCCCAGTTGCGGGAGCCCCCTGGGTCCTGGGAACAGCCACTGTGGGTGGTGCTTGGTGCCAACACGTCTGGGAGTTTCCAATGCAGCAGCTTTCCACAGCGCCTGCTTGGGCCCTGACACTTCTGATTCTCAGACACACATATTAAATAGGTTTTAAGAACAACAAAAAAGTTTTAAATAGTCTGTATAAAAATAACTTTTCTCTTTTAATCAGGTTGAACATGCATGGAGTCTTTGCTGTCAAAAGCGTAACAGTTTTCCATGAATGCTTTCATAAACAAACAGGGTTGGCAAGACTTGAATTTCTTACGTGAAAAAGAGCAGGAAGGAAATTTTTCATAGGATCATAGCGTCATACAAAAGCAAGGCTGGAAAGGACCACACAGGGCTATTTAACCCAGCTCATGGCAGGGTCATCCATGACTGAATCTTTCCAGGCACGTGTCTGTCCAACCTGCTCTTGAAGATCTCTAGGGATGGAGGTTTCACAGCTTCTCTAGGGAGCTTCCAATGCTTGACCACCTTCATAGTCAGAAAGTTCTTCCTAATCTCCAACCAAAATTTCCTCCACTGCAGTTTGAAGCCATTGCTTCTAGTCCTGTTCCCTACAACCACAGAGAAAAGTTTATCTCCATCTTCTCTATAATCACACTTCAGGTATTTAAAGACTGTTATCAACTTCCCACCTCAGCCTTCTCTTTTCCAGGCGAAATAAGCCTAGCTCTTTAAGCCTTTCCTCATAAGTTATGTCTCCCAGCCCTCAAATCATGTTTGTTGCTCTGTTGGATTCTTTCCAGTCTTTCCACATCCTCCTTGAAGTGTGGGGCCCCAAACTGCACACAGTACTCAAGGTGAGGCCTCACCAATGCTGAATAGAGCAGAAGAATCACGTCCCTTGATTTGCATATGACACTCCATTTAATACAACCCAGGCCTTTTTTGCAAATACTGAAAGAAAATGGACATGACCCCAGTTGTTCTTTATGGTCGGTAACGTTTAATCTCATTTCTATACAATTACCAGTTGTATTTTATGAAAGCAGAATTCAGTGCAGTGGAGAGATGGAGTGATAATTACACAAGTGTCTGAAAGGTATCCAGGTTGTAGCCATACTGGTTTAGAGGAAAAAGCAATCCGGGCTTGTGGACAGAGGTGATACTTTTATTAGACCAACTAGATTTTTGCAATTAAAGAAATATTTTACAAAAATCTTGTTGGTCTAATAAAAGATATCATCTCTGTCCATGAGCCTTGATTGAAAGATATACAGTTATAAAAACATCCATTAGCTAACTCAGGGCTGTTCTACTCTAAGCCCCTGGGGGCTACACCAGTGGGGGCTGCATGCTGTGTGGGCCGCATGCTGTGTGGGCCATACCAAGCAAGCCATGGGCCACTGGACCACACAGACACTGCCCCCTGCTGCTCCACATACAGATGCAGGCAACCCCTCAACCCTCTCTCCACATGCCTTCCCCAATGCTGCTCTGTGCAGGCAAGATCTTCCCCCAACATGGCCCAAGCTCACCCTCACCAGGGGTGAAGGCAGGAAGTGGCAGCCAGAGGAAAGGGGGAACCTGGAGACTCCAGTTGCTGTTGAAGCCAGAGTGATGGGGGGAGCAGTGGCTGGATGAGAGCTGGGAGGGCTGCAACTTAACCCATCACAGATTGCATTCAGCTTCCCAGCTGCTAGTTGGAGAGCCCTGAACTAGCCGACACTACACCATAAGGAAATATGAGTTAAAAGAACTGGACGTACTACATGGCTCTCTCTGATACACCCTTCATAAGAAAAGACTTTTATTTGATATGGTAATAATTCCCACACCCTTAATGTTGCTCCCACACCCCTGCACACATCATCAAGCATTTTCAGCACTAATAACACAGGCAGATTAGTACTTCTGTGTACTGCTGACTCACTGGAGTGGGCTTTCTTTACAGGATACTAAGTCAGATTTATTTCACTGGGCCCTAATTTCTAAAGTAGGCATGGGGACATGTAGGTGTTACCAACCAGCAAGGACATAAATAGCTCTTACTTGCTTTGCAGCTAAATAAAGTGCATTGTACATTGGCATGTATTACAACCAGTATTTCCAGCAGATTCACTCATCTGTGATGCACCCATAACTTCTTCAGCTGCAAAGGAAAGTTTGCCTTAGAAAGATGAAAAAACCAAAGAAACAGGAAGTTAGTGACGTTTTCTATGTACACAATGAAGATAACATAGGTACATTTTATTACATACCCCAAGCTCCCCAAGGCAAAACAACCTCTCCTACATTAAAAGATTATAATAATGTTTAGTAATCAAAAATTGGGTGCATCCATTGCTATGTTGGGCCTGATTCTGAGGATGGTGTACACTGGCTTCAAAGGAGCTATGTTGATTTAGTTAAGAGCCTGGCCTAGACTCTGATTCCACAATTCTACCCTTGGTGTTGCTTGCCACAATTCATTTGGGGTAGGAATGGATAGTGCTCACGAAATGAGTTTGGGTGATGTCATGAAAGTGAAAACCAGGAAGTGTTGACACAGTGATCGCTATTATGAATTGTACATGTTAAATTGCTCTTCTTTAATGTGGCTGGGTTCTAATTAAACCTCAGTGAAAGAAGTATGACAGAAAAATACACACCCAGTTACTAGCCAGGAATACCTAACAGGCAGAGACAATCCTAAACAATCCCATACTAGGTTTTACTTCAGACTTGGTGCTTGGAAGGATGGGACATGGGAGTTTACAAAGATGATTCTTTGGTTCAGAGCTTGAGAGATGCAGAATATGATGGCTGTCAATAACAGGCAGAGGGTAAAGGCACAGCTTGGATAGAAGGATAAATGAGTTATTAAGGAACTGGGCATTAGAAAGAGCCTGGGTTGAGTTGTGGCCTTATTTGGCTTCAGGAATTAAGAGATTATTTATTCTGTGACTCAGAGCTGTTGTTACTGTATGTGTGCCAGCTGGAAAAGCTGAATCTGCACAAGACCAAGTGCTGTCTGAGACAACAGTGTGCTCTGAAATAGAAACACAGGAACACAAAATGATTATTTTGACTTTCAGCTATTCTGTGATGGCTGAGGTATAAAGTGGAGAATTCCTTGTAGCCAGTGGGTTTTGCTAATGAAGTGCATGTGCAGTAACGCATGCTATGTCAGAAAGAACTCTAAAGCTTGAACGAGGTTACAAATCAGGAGTAGCGAGTTCCATTAATTATCAAGGATTAAACACTACTTTTTTTTCAGGGTTGGCTTCCCGAGCACCTCCCACAGCTTGACTGGAAGCCATCTGCTCATTTACTGGGAAGAGATTTGTCTTTATTCAGCCTCACCCAGATCTGACACACATTATTTCACTTTCAGAGTCACACCCAGTACAGGTGCAACAAATGAGTCACTGACCTGAAGTGTGAATGCTTTTTGGTTTGAGGTGTTCCGGTACGAAACTTGGGTGTGGTAGGCTCTTGTCAGGGCAAAAGAAAACAGACCCATATCAGAACTCAAAGCAGGGCAGGCCAGCCTCCAACTAATCACTCCTGGAACTGAAAAGCAGGTGTCAGCATTACTGCATTACAAAAATGAATAGGACTTCCTGGTTCTGGTACTAAAGCAAAAGACTTGATATATGCGAGGACTGAAGTGGGAACAGCTTGTTCCACTACTCCTTACTGTTGGATGTTTATGCATTCATTGAAACAGCTGCTGCTGTCTGAGATGTGCTACTGGATTAATTGGATTTTGGGACTGATCCAGTACAATAATTTCTCTGCTTTTACGTGGGACTGAAACAGAGCAGAAGAAGGGCGTGTTAATTATTCTGTGATGCCATTTATGTTTGGGAAACTTTTTTTTCACATTGCTTGGTAACTGCTCTACCAGACAGTTTTATTTTTATGATTGCATTTTATTGGAATTCTAGATTAATTTTTTCATCAGGGTTTTTAAAGAGGTAGCACCCAAAATATGGCCTTTGACAGGAAGAGAATGAGCTATGCAGATCAGATTCCAGTTTCCAAGGGAAGAAATCACAAGCTAAGCTATTGTTCACTAGATTTTGCCTTTTGCAAAGGAGATGAAAATGAAGCTGACAGCAATATCAGATATTTAATTAAATGGAATCCCCTCAGAACTGGTCCCTTTTCCAAATTCTTGACAGTTTTTTACCGTTAATTACTAAAAATGATTAGCTCACATTAGAGACTAATTGCTTGATCATTTTCAATTTCGTAATTACCCCTTCTTAAAGTCACTAGTAAAGCTTCATTGGCATGGCTCAGCTTTGTTCAGAAAAAAAAATACATGGCTGAATGAGGATTTATTTTTTTGTATGATGGCAATGTTTACCTGTCCCATTCTGTACAGAGAAAAGAATGGTTTAATACAAAAGGCAAAAGTGCTGCATTATGTGCTTTGGGTTCATTTTTCATCTTGGCCACAGGCTTTCTACATAATATAGTTGCCTCTCATTACACTTTAACCCAGATCTGAAACAGGATGTAAATGCCTGAACTTGAATAGAATTGGAGGGCCTAACTTTTAATTTTCAGTTCTCTCTCTCAGCTGGGGAAGGGAGAAGGTGCTAAACACCGCTGCTACAGACCCATGATCCCTCTCTTCCTGACCTGTTGAATTTCATTTGCTTTAAATGCTGCACAGCGCCACAGCTTCAATATGAAATATGGAGAGTGCACCTCCTTCCTTCCAAGCCACCCTAGAGCATGGTAGTTATGGGGGTTGGGAGACATGGGTTGGAAGCTGATCAGGCTAGCAAGCAAGGTTATTAAAGGCCATGCCCCTCATGAATAGTTGCCAAGTAAACAGTGGGAAACAACAGAAGTGCCACCTGCTGTTCATTAAGAGAAAGCATCTACAACCGCATTGCTTTAGGAGAGGTGTAGGCAACATTTTTTGGCCAGAGTGCCGAAAAAACCCACAATGTCTACCTTGGAAGGTGCCGGAGTACAGACATGCTGGAGCCCGGAGCAGCTGTTTGCTGCCTCCCTGCTGCAGCTGGCCCACGGAGCCCAGGCTGCTTGCAGCCTCCCAGCTGCCTGCTGGGAGCAGCCTGAGCTCTGTGGCTGGCAGCAGCTGCCTAGAGCCCAGGCTGGTGGTGGCGTGCCGAGCAAAATGGCCTTGTGTGCCATGCTCAGCACGCATGCCGGGGGTTGCTAACCCCTGCTTTAGGGAGTCTGGCCCATGTGTGGTGGGGGAGCTTTGAGCTGAACTTTTGGATCAGGTCCTCAGGGACCCCAAGGTCCTGGATCACAATTGGGTCTAGGCAGGAGCTAAGCATTTACCTGCTCAGAATGGGATGGTTCTGGTTACCCCTAGAGGCAGCCAGTGGAACACCAAGAGCATTGAGCCATCTCCAGCATTAAGCAGCAATTCTTTCTATTGTAATTTTGGACCCAGGCTCTTCATTTGCATTCGTAACCTGGGTGGTACTCCAAGATGTACCCCCTCTCCATTTGAAGGGATCAGAGCAGGTGCACAAGCTCTGTGGGAGGTGTAGGGACCCTCCTTCCCCTATAGAGCAGAGCCAGATCACCAATGGGGACTTAACCATATACCTTTTAATGAGAAAAACAGTAGTGGGAACATGACATGTATAAACCAGGGGGTATAGGGGACACTACAACACCCCGAGCGGGCAGGATTCAATAAAGGTTAGGCATTTACATTCATAGACATATTCATGCGGCCGACAAAAGACAGGTTTAACAAAATATAAAAGACAAACAGCACACAAACAATACTGGTTGGCAAAATATAAAAATCACAAAATACAAAACATTAAATAACAAGAAATATAGGGCCTAGGTATCTGAAGTGGGGAAAGAGGGACAAAACACAATGACCCCCTTCCACTGCAACAAGAATTCCTCCCTCTTACTTTACTCACCCCACTTCAAACTAGCTGGAACTTGAACTCAGATCTCCAACATGGTTGGCAGAAACTCTTACCACACAGCCACCAGCACTGGTACTATAACAAGCTGCTAGGGGTTTTGACCTTCCAGGAGCCCCAGCCTCACGTCAAGCTTCCCGGCCTCTTGCTGGAGGAGCTGGAAGCAGAGCTGGGAACCTCTCAGGTCACTGCTCAGTTTCCTGCTGGA